GAAGGGAAGGGAAGGGAAGGGAAGGGAAGGGAAGGGAAGGGAAGGGAAGGGAAGGGAAGGGAAGGGAAGGGAAGGGAAAGGAATGTGCACTGATTCAACCAAATATTTTTCTGAAGGTGAATGTGAGGTGGACGCAGTAAGGTATTAAAAATCAATATGCTACAATGGAAAATAAACGGAAGTTATAATTTCTTATCTAACAACAGAACAATGAACCTCAGAGGTGAAATAAACAGGCCATTTATAAGTTACTGTAAGACTTAGAAAGACAAACTAATATTCTATTAACTAGTAACACTAAAGTCTGCAATTACCAGGACACCTGCTGACAGATTTATTTTTTAATTTAACTGGAGAATATATTTTTAGAAAAGGGCAATATATTTTTCTTGCAATTTGAAAGTTCAGCCGGAAGAAATAACTCAGTCTTGCAAAAAAATCCTATTGCAGTGCTTAGTTTTATGAGCACAAGATTTCACCAAGATTAGTGCTCAGCAGATGTTAAAAGAGAGAGGTTTGCTTTTTAAAGAAAGGAATTGCTTAATAAAATTGTGATTCTATTAAAGTCCCTGCAATCAGACTAGAAAAACAAAAGGTCCAGAGGCATAATGGGAAAGGGGGTTCCAAAAATGGAAAAGTTATTGAGTATCGTTCAGACATTTACATTCTTCTGTGATGTTAAGATCACTTGTCAAAAACATGCTTCAGTTTTATGTGATGCTTAGAAACCACAGAAGGGTCCAGACTCAAACTGTTAATCTAAAATGCTTTTATAGAGTGAGGAAATACGGATTTGGCCCATGAGTGCACACAGGGGCTGACTGGCTGATATTTGCATGGCTGACTGTCTTAGCAGCAGCCCATGGTCTACTCCATCACAGTATTGGTGCTGAGTGGGTGTGGCTAGAAAAACTTGATGGGAATACAACAGCCTTCAGTCAAGCAGGGAAATAAATTCAAGAATTTGAAGGCCAAATATCTTATCCTTATCTCAAAGATTTTTATTATTAAATTTAACAAAGAGGACTAATGCAGTCCATAGTAAACAAATACAATGCTTTGGAATTGGTCTGTCATTTTCAAAAAATTACTGAGAATATTAGGATTTTGAGTAAACAAATTTCATCACAAAGAAATAGGTGGCCACCATGGAAAATGTCCATGCCATTGGACAAGGAACAAAAACACATTTTGACCATAAATATCTTCTATTTTGAAATATTGTTAAGTATTCCATTAGTTTCAGGAGCAGAAATTCAGCTGTTTTCCATCCAAGCTCCTCTGTGGTCTGGACTTCATCACAGAACATCACATTAAATGCTCTGTGGAGCTCAGTAAGGGAAGAGGTACCACATCATGCAAGATGGGATGTGGCGGGAGACTGCCCAGAAGAATGGGATGGGGATGCAAGGATCTTGCTCTGCCACTGGGCTTTAAGAAGAGGCAATCAAGAATTTATGATCTGGCTGAAGAGATTATGATTGACTAGTTAATTTTTTCATGCACCCCCAAGATCTTCTGTTTAACAGAGTTAGCAGATACAGCCCCAAAACAGAACAGCTTTGCTGGCCCAGGAAGTGGCTGAGACCCTGCATCCTTTGGGACTTTGGGGCAGGATAAGGTAGTGCATCTGGAAAAGCACCATGAGTAACCTTCACCTTCACCTTCCCTAGTGATCTGTGTCTTGAGACAGAGCTGAGAGTGAGGTCCAGCAGACGGGAAAGCTGGGACACCTGTGATACCAGGGCCTTGTGCTGCTGTTCTCAACAGTGGTTACATGTGCTGTAAGATGCATTGAAATCTAGCAAGGATCAGGCAAAGGTGCTATTTCCTTACATTGTTGGGGTCTTTGTATTTCAGGCAGAGAACAGATGGAGACAGCTGGAATTAGGAGTGGCATTACGATATTCTTTGTGTTTGTGTTATGATTTAATTTTTCAACTATATAACAAGAGGAATCTTGCTTTAATCCTAAAAGCAAAGAACAAATGTTTGTTGTGAATGTTTTTATATTTTCACGTACAATAACAAACATTTGTTTTAAAAATTAAGGCATTAAACTGTGAGGAACAAAATGCCTAAGTTTAGATCTAGATATAGCTAAGTATTGCATAATCTTTCTCTACTTCACTTAGGCATTGTAATACATCTCTTACCTACCTGGAACACAGGTCCCACAAACTTAAAGCTATTTTAAGTAAAAAAATTATTTTTACTTAAAGTAAAAATAAATGTACTTCTCAGGATACTTTCAAGTATATTTCTTAAATGTTATTTATACATATATACATGTTGACTGGTCTTAATTACTACCCAGTGGAAAATTCTACATTAGGAAAAAGTTCTTCACAGAAAGAGTGATTGGATATTGGAATGAGCTGCCCAGGGAGGTGGTGGAGTCACTGTCCCTGGAGGTGTTTAAGGAAAGACTGGATATGGCACTCAGTGCCACGGTCTAGTTGACATGGTGGTGTTAGGCCATTGATTGTACTTGATTATCTCAAAAACTTTTCCAACCTAGCTAATTCTGTGGTTCAGTGTGAGCTAACATCTTCATCTTTTAAAAAACTGCACTCACTCTCTAGTAGAAAACTCAATGTACCCGCCCAGTGACATGGGACATCCAACTTCACAAAGGTCACTGATGTTGCAGAGAAGCTTACTTGTTCCTGCTCTCTTTCTCTCCATCTCTTCATTACTGATCTTATCCAATGTCAGATTTTGGTCTTCAAGCAGTGAAGGAGGTGTTCAGGGCCAGACTGGATGGAGCTGTGAGCAGCCTGTTCTTCTGAAAGGTGTCCCTGCCCACAGCAGGGGGATTTGAATGAGATGATCTTAAAGGTCTTTTCCAATCCAAACTGTTCTATGATTCTATGAATCTGTATTTCAGTTCTTAGGGAACAAATTTCTTCTTGTGCAGAGCCCATAGTTACCTGAGATTTCTGCTCAGTCTCTGAAGTTCAAAAGGCCATATATGCTTGAGAAAAGCCTTTTCAAACATAAGATTTGGTTCAGTTTGATTCAAGAGCTGCAAATTTACTACAAATTATTCCTCATCCTAAAACTACTTTTTGTTGTTATTTTTTTTGTTTTCCTTCTTTGGAAACATACTTTATACTGGCTGTCTGTGTGTGTACAATGTGCTTACACCTCACTTGTCCTGATTATGAAAATGTTCATGTCTATCACAACCAAACTCTCTCTCACCTTCAAACAGAACTGGAAGGAAGAGAGACGGTTGTTTGCTGAAGGCTCTGCTGGTTGTATCTACTCCTCTGAAAGACAGAAAAATAAAAGGAGAAATAGAGAGTGGATCTGCAGCAGAATAAAGTGAAGGAAAATAAATACAAGAGAAGGAAAGATCTGTCCCCAGTGCTGCAGCTCTATAATCTGGTCTAAGTGTCAGCCTTTGGAGCAGCATTTGAGGATTATTCCTCCCTACTGAGAGCAGGGAGGATGATAAAACAATAGGAAAATAACAAGCAGACACTCACCAGAGAAATGTTTTCCATTTGTAGTGAGGTTAGAAACAAATAATCAAAACAAGATCCAGTGTAACTTTTGCTTTTTCCACAGATTTTTCCCTGCCAAAAGATGTAATGTCACATGGATCTGGTAACTCTGCTGGCCTGGAGCCTCCACCAGACTGCTGTGGTGGCTCCCACCAGAGACCGGTGTTGTGAGCGCACAGGGGCTGCAGCATGATGACCTTTCCTTGGCTTTCTGCTGCTCCCCACATCTGCTGCAAAGCCACTTTCCCTGTTTATTGTGAGACCATGCTGTCACCACCTGCCACTGCTGTCATTGTCCCCACACCTTGGACCTAGGCTGTATTAATTCCTGCAGGGACCTGTTCAGAGTCAGCCCACGCATAGCAAGTCTCTAACAACTTCTCTAAGGAACTTTAGAAACCATTAAGCTGGCACAAGACAAGTACAGACCCAGAGCCTCCCTGGAGCACAGCAGATGCCCTATCTACCTGCCACAATCTTCATGTCCTCCTGAACAGAGAAGGTGTGCTCCCAACAGATAAGAGTTAGCCCCAGAACTTTGGTGTAACTGCCAGATTAAAGAACAAATATAAAAAAAACCCTTTAAAACCACTGTATTTTTATTGTAAAATCACTTATTTATGTCACAAGACAAACTTATCTCAGAGCAAAGGCATGATCCTGATTGCAGAGCAAAAACTAAACAGACCACAGCTTAACTCTGGGAATCTTGCAGGCTGCAGACTCCACTATGCTTCTTTGCAGAGGCAGCAAAATTTTGCAAAAGGCATAGTCTGTGACAATATGAATGTGGAGGTGATCATACAGTGGATCAGGGTATATAACCACAAGCAGGGCACAGCTATGCCTCCTGCAAGGCAACTGCTCCACAACAGCAGTGCTTAGACAGCACAGTATGCAAAACTGCAGCCCTGATCCAACAATGCACTAAGTGTAAATCCAGGTGTTCCTGAGTTTTGGGTTTCCACAATTCAATTGAACTCTCAGAGATAAGGGGAGAGAGAAAAAAAGAGAGAGAGAAGCACAGGGTGCAATTGCAGGGTCTCTTTTAGAGACTGGAGACAACGTCATCAGAATTGTTATGGTGAAAAAACTAATTTAACAACAGGTTGGGTTTTTTCTTTATTGAGTGAGGTCTACATTAACACTTCCTGGACATTTAGGCAAGCTCAGATGCTCAAAAGCTATGGTAAATGAAACGAAACAATTGCAAATGTGGTTCAGTCCTATTTCAAATCAGATTAACATACTTGCAGTGTTCTCTTGCTCAATTACTATTATAGAAAAAAAGCAGAGATAAGCCTTCAAGAAGTGTGTGTGTATAATGCATTTATCTTTATAAAGTTCCCCTCTGCAATATGAAATTATTATGAATAGTCTTCATACTGGCAGCTCTTTTAGCCTTATTAATGCCTGTACTGGACACAAATAAAACAACTAGTTTTCAGAAGACTTTCCCACCAGAGAATAAGAAAAAAATAGGTTGATTTGACTGATTTTCTTGTCATCACTCTTAAACATGTGGAACTGAGCTTATGTATCAAATTTGACAGGCAAGATTTAACACAGAAAGTTTTTCTCCTTAACTGCTATGAACTCAGAGAGACAACAAAGATATTAATAAAAATATGCAACATAATCCACACAGCATTCTTTTTTGGGCTCCTGCAGGAGAGCATGGTGTGTTTCTAGTCTAGGGTTTTTTGTAAATCAAAGGATCCTTGTGAATCTGAGCAATCCTTTTGCTTAAATTGTTGTCAGTGTGATCTGCAAGGTGTAGGATAGAAAGCAGAAATGTAGCTGTGCTGTATTTGCATTGCTCTCCAAATTGAGAGAGAATGGAAAAATTAAGAGCAGACTGGAAAAATAAAACCCTGTTTCTAAACAATAAGAGCTGTGAGATATCCACTGTTTTGGTTAATATTTTTCCATGTTAAAAAAAAAAAACAAACCTCTTTGTTTTAACGTGTATTTATAGAAGGAATTCTATTTTGCTTTTTACCATGCCTCTAAAATTAACAAATGCACTCCTGTGGCTGCAGGCAGGGAGAAACAGCAGTTCAGAGAAGAATTTGGGCTGAAGGGCTTTGGGTAGGTGACCAGCTGACTTCCCATGCAGACCTCCAAGCCACGGCAAGACTGGAGACAGACTGTGCCTGGGTTTCTCCAGTTGTTCTGTCCTGGCACCACAGACCACTTTTCTCCCAGAAATCTGTACATTAAAAGCTGAGCTTTCATTTAGCAGGAATAGCCCCCAGCTATAGATTGAGAGAGTCTCTTGACTTTGTGAAATATCACCCATCCATTGCCTCAAAAATTTGCACCAACAGATGGAAAATGTGGAAAATCTTCCTAACCTAATGAGACTCGTCTTACTTCTTGTCCAGGAAAACTGGCTATTTCCTTTCAGGGAGGACTGAGGGTATAACACTCGAGTTATAAAAGATCATCTTTTTCCATCTTCAGAATTATTGAACTCCCATGAGGCCTCAGGATGTTTTCATAATTATTTCCAGTTTCTAAAATTTCTTGTAAGTACAACCTCCTCAGTTCTACAATGTGAACAGACAAAACAGGGCTAGCACACTGCCAGGACAGTGCCAGAACACTGCCAGGACACTGCCAGCAGGCTATGGAAGTGGAGGCAGTCAGATTCATCCTCTAGGAGGCTCTCAGGAGGGAGGAGAGCCCTCCAGAACCACATGCACACTGTGTTTCGCAGGGAACCAGCTCATCCAGAAGAGGGGCTGGGAGCAAACTGGTGCCATGTGGGCAGCAGGAAGCAGGGAGATATATAAGAACTGCAGAGCTGAGCTCTTTGAAGTGTAGATGCCATCCTAAAGTGCAAAAGGCCATATTGCTGACTGGTATTAGGAATGTTATTTAATCCACTGAATAAAATATTCAATAGAAATGCCTAATTCATACTGATTAACTGAATGCCCTCTATAAAACTGCCTACTTACACAGCTTCCCACAACCTCTCTTCCATACCTTCATTTAAAGAGAAGAAAAGCTTCAATGTTGTTGTGTGGCAGAGAATGAGAGTGATAAAAATAACCATGTGAGAAAAATATATTTTGATTACACTATAAAAATTAGGGGAAAAGATCCAGGGAGACCTAGATGATTGGGTAAAGAAGTTTCAAATAAAGGGGAAGCAATCTGAACAAAAACAACAACAAAAAAAAATCCCTAGGAAAAACCTGGGAAGCTAAGGCAAATCTGTTCTGCACAAAGCTGACCATCTGGAACGTGTTACTGAAGAAGAGATGTGGGATCACATAGATTGTTTCTGGAAAGGGAGGGGCTTGAGGGGCATGGAAAAAAAACCCAACATGGTTGAATTAAGAGCCAGCCACAAACACTGAGCCAGATGGCTTTTTCTCTTCTTAAAATGATGTATGTTCCCATCACTCTATATCTCTGCTAATCGCTTTAATATAGGAAAACTGCATGGAGAAAGATGTTAAGGAGTAAGAAGAGGCACCTGGGTAAAATGAAAAGAACTTTACTTCTCTTGTATGCCTCTCTGTCCTATAAACTGAAATTCAAAGCAGGGAGTCTCTCTTATGCAATAGTACATCTGTTGCTGTTCTAAACTCTTTGGGCACAGAAACTTTCCAGACAATGTAGAGCAATCATTTGGGTGTTTTGAGAGGTTTCCAGCTGTAAGCCATATATTTGTTTTATAGCAAATTTTAGGTTAGTTCCTAGAATTTAAAACATATTCAATCTGCTTTTGTTTTATAGTCTGTAAACACTTTTAGAGCTCTATTCTTTATTTAGTGATAGATAGGCACAACACAGCTGTTCTCCAGTGGCCTGTATTTTCAGCACAACCTTATCTTTTCCTACACCATTCAGAGTTTCAAATATGTTAGAAGAATATGGGACAAAGTATCAGGAGACCAAGCGTGTCTGAAATACAGAAGATGAATGATTTTCATTTATATCTGCAGGACTTTATACTGACAGTCTTTCACAGTACCCAGAGCCATAGAGGATGGCTTGGCTAACGCTAGTACATGAATTTGTTTCTATGGCTCAGCGGAGTATATTCATCGTCGTGCCAGGGTATAAACAAAACAGGCATGTCAACACAGAGCATCTTGAACAACTACATGTGGTTTCTCAGAAAGGTCAAGCGTTGCATCAGCACGATATAAATGCTCCTGGTAGACAAGACAAGGCAGCTCATTCAGGGCTGGTGTCTCAGCATGGCACTGCCCTGTGCCACATAATCCCTCTCTGAGGAGAGACGAGGGCAGCAGGAGCCCTGGGAGCACAGTGACTGCATGGAAAGCATTGGTGCAATTGCCCAGCTGGAGTTAAATGCTGCTGCCTACACAGCTGTGCCAGAGGGCTGGACTGGTACCTCTGTTGAAGGATGCCCTCTGCTGTGCCCCAGCACTCTTTCAGCAGGGTAAATTATGACCTTCCCAACAGCAATAAAAAAGCTGGTTTTTACTTTGACTTCAGTTTATACTTCAAATGCTGTGATGAAATGATCTCCCGGCAGCTAGGAATGCAATGTGTCATTATAATGAACACAGCAGCCCCCAGAATGGGGTTGGCACCCAAGCTACATTACAAATGCTTGTATATAATCTCCCTTTTAGAGAAACTACTCTGACAAACTGTTACTGTCTCCAGCTCACGTTCCCCTCTGCAAACTCTGCACATTCATAAATCAATCCCATGCTAAAGCAGGATAAGCAACAGCAATGAGTCCAAATTGGATGGACACACAGTGAATTCTTTCCTTTATACCAACTGATTCTTCAAATAACAGAATTTGTTTCCAGAAAATCTTTGCCCCTCACTTACAAAGCCTTAAGATAGGAAATCCTGTCAGCAGGAGGCTTGACAGGCTATTTGTTTTCATATATTCACATTAATAACTCAATCCTTCTCAGACACTGCTCATCTATTGAAAACAAGCTGCCCACATTCACAGGGAACCCTCTGCAGATGCTGGCTGTGGCCTTTTCCTCTGGCCTCTTGGGAATTCTGAATTTCTGTCTCCAGACCTAAATCAGGTGATTCAGCCTTTTGTGAATTTCAGTTGGGAAAGAAATGGCCAGATACATTATTTTAAGTCATTCCCTTTCTGTTGTCTGCTTTCCTTATCCCTTCAGCACCTTTCAGTTAACTGCTCCTTTGAGATATATAGGGCTGGAAACAGCCATCCTGTAAGCTCTTTTGCAGCTGGAAACCTACCTCGGACAGGGTTACCAGAGTAGCAATGGGTGGAGAGAGTGCTGGGCAGAGTAGCAAGAAACTGAGAACACCATGTTTTAATTTTTATTATTATTGTTGTTATTCTCAAGGTGGACCAAGAGTAATGTATAAACATGGAACAAAAAATGGTCACTACCCCCAGAAGCTTGCATTGTAAATATAAATGTGTAAAATATGAAATCTATAAAAATTTAAATATCCAGCATAAAAGGGGTCCAAACAGGGTAAATAGGGAAATAGCCTCTCATACAAGGAACACTGAGGATCTAATTTATAATGGAAAAAGAAGCAAACAGACTGCACAAGAGACTGCTGCATGGTCATACAATAACTGCATTGTGGAAAGGAATGAGAATGCATTTGTTGAAAGATGAAGAGATGACTTTGGAAGAAGGTTTCAGTGCTAGAAGCAAGAAAGTTGTAACCTTCATGATCCCAGCTGTGCTCTGGGGGAAAAAAAAGAGCTATTTGCATTCTTCACAAATAAACAGGACTGCATCAAAGAAAATACTGGCCCTACCACCACTTTTTTCTCCTCACCTCCAAGACCCCAGATTTTAGCTCAACAGGGTGACTTAATTACTCCAAGAAATCCTGGAAGAAATGAAGAATGGCTTTGTATCAAAACTTTGTATCCTAGTAAATTATAAGA